AATAGAGATAGGTGAGACACAAACCCTAACCCTAATCCAGAGCTCTCCTCTGTATATTTTCTAACCTTTTTGTCCAACCCTAAAGCCAAGAGAGGAGGGCTCCTCTTATAGGGAAGCCAATCTTGTAAAGCTTACAAGGAAGCCATCCCTCCATACACGTGTATGGAGGGGAACAAAATGCCATACAGCTGTATTAAAATATCTACAAAAGCAGATGAACAGTAGTCGGTTGCTCAAAATTACCATTTTGACAAAATGGACTACCGACCGGCAACAAAGAATGCCAACCGGCAATATACATTGCCGATGGCTACAAAACACCAGCCGGTGGCCTCTGGCCATGGCCGGTGATGTGTGGGGATGCCTCACAAGGTATTCCCTGCCCCTCCAAGGCAAAATACAAGTGTTTGGTGCAAAACCAGACACTAAACAGTCGAGTTCGGAGATCCTGAGGCAAGGCGCGTAGCCGAGACCTCCGGGAACTCCAAACGAACACAAACATGGATAATCACCAGGTGTTCAAACGGTGACGTCCAAGTCTTGAGGACGGTCAAAAACGGGGTGTCTACAGTCGGCGTTCCATTGAACCCGACCATTGGGCTATTGGATTGCTCCATATCGTCTGGGTGAAGGCCGAGCTCCTTGTAACATCGGACGTACATGATGTCACAAGAGCTGCCTTGGTCAATCAGGATACGCTTTACTTGGCATTCCCCAACCTGGAGGGAAACTACCAAGGCATTATTATGCGGATGCTGCACCATCTCAAGGTCGGCTTCAGAAAAGGACACTACTGGTCCTTGGCACTCCTCTGCCCGATGTCTCTTTCTCCGACTTGGTAGACATGCTGTAGGTGTTTTACCTTCTGGGTCTCCCCCCGAATCTCATTTTCGTTGACCTTTGAGTGAATTACATTAACTACCCGAGGTCCTCCTACCTGAGGTTGCTGTGCTAAGGGAGGCGGAGCTGCTGGCGCCTGAGACAGTCTTGCATGTTCTTCCCTTGTCCTGGCCTCATCAACAAGGTCTTTCAAATGGCCTTGCCTTACCAAGTTTTCTAAGTGTGTTTTCAGGGCTCTACAACCCTGAGTCATATGCCCATCTTCATTGTGGTAAGCACAATGCCTGCCAAGGTTTCTTCCCATAAATTCTCCTGGTGCCCTCGCTGGTGTTCTGAAATAGGGTTGATTCCGAATTTTATCCAGGATTTTGTGAATTGGGATTCAGAACATAGTTGTCACTGCTTGTGTAGCCCTCAGTTCTGTCTCTTGCTTCCTGGATCCATTGTTTCCTCGGCCTCGCTTCGGCGAGCCATTTTTTTTCTCTTACTTTGTCTCCTTGGTTCCCGATGTATCTTCCTCGGCTCTGGCGTATTTTTCAATTCTGGCCATGAGCTCTTCCATGCTTTTTGGCAGTGTCTTTGCCAAAGACTTTCGTAGCGGGCAGTTGTCTTTTAGGCCGTTCTTGAAAGATACGACCGCCACCTCTTGATTACATTCGGGTATTCGGTTGAACACCTCGTAGTACCTTTTTGCGTAGGCCCTAAGGCCTTCATCCTTATTGATCTTCAGAGCCATCAATGCATCCACCCTTAATGGTTGTAGCTTGTTTGTCACGAACCTGGCCACAAACATCTCGGCCAGGCCTTCCCAGGTCTTCACACTTCCCTTTGGTAGCTTGTGAAACCAATCTGATGCAATCTCCCCAAAGGATGAGGGGAACACTTTACAGAGCAACAGCTCGTTCCTGCTATGCAATGCCATTGAGTTCAAGTATAATCCAATGTGGAAGTTGGGGTCTGACTTACCATCGTATATTTGGAACCTCGGCATACTGAATCTCTTCGGCGCCTCAAATTTGTCCAACTCCGCTAAGAATGGTGTTCTCAGCTTATCTGGGGAGTTTACCCCGGCGTCGGCATTCTGTTGCTTCCTTTTGAGGTAATCTCTTAAGTCCTCCTTTGTCCACCCAGGAGCTCGGCTATCTCCTGCTTTCAATCTTTTTGGTGCACTACTTTCAGCTTCGTGGTGAGTCCTCTTCGACCTTTCTCCATTAGTTGTGTCGAAGCACAGTGCCTGTCCCTGGACATACGCTTGATGTTCTTTGGGGTTTACCTCCTTTGTGCGATACGTCCTCCGTCATTCTTCCCTTCTTGACTCTCCTCGTCCGACCTCCCCAGAAGGTCGGTGAGAGGTGTCTTTCGCTCTGGTGTGCTGAGGGGCTATGGGGATTTGTTTTTCTGCCCTCCTTTCTGGGCATTTGGCCTTGGAATCGGTGTGTCCTACGAGCGGGAATGGTGGCTAGATGACGTTGTTTTGCATCATGAAATTGACAACCGATTGCAGGTCCGCCAATTTGTTTGCCATCTCTTTTACCTCTTCGTCCCTCCAGAGAGATCTATCCTTCCATACCTGGAGGTCATCCTCATTGTAGTACCCACTTCGATCTGGCTTCTTTGTACGTCGCCATCCTAGCCGACGTCTTTGTTGCTGTGATTTTGGTCACCAGTTTCTGTGTTGCGGTTGTCTTCTTCGACGTCAAGGTCAATAGGTCTGCCACTCCTAGCAGGAGTGCCGTCTCCAATCTTTTTCCTTCTGTCCGTTGCTAGCCATCTATTCTTCTTTCTTTCCCACAGACGACGCCAAATTGTGTGAGTGATTTTCTGACCACACTGCCAACTCAGTATTCAGCTGGAGAGTACTGGCAGAATAGATGACACCTAGCTGACCTGCAACAGAAAGAGAAGATTCCGGCGGTGGTTCATCCACCCGGGGGCACTCCGACGATCAAGTCAGTATATCTCTCAAAGATAATCAATAGTGCTAAATTCACTATTCTAAGTATCAATTGCGTACCTTAGACCCATCGAAGGTGCTTCTATTTTATGTTAACTCAATTCTTGTCCCAAAAGAAGCCTAGCTTCAAGGACTTTTGCTTAGTACTTATCTAGGACTCTTAATAGATAGAGATAAAACTCCCTAAGAGCTTATCCTTATCTAGGCTGAGTTCCCTCATCATTCTAGGGACTCTTGTTGCCCTATCCGTTTATCTCGATTCCGATATTCTTTCCGGAGATAACCTCGGCCTTGCCGAGATCACCTCAGCGTCATGACCAGGACACGTGGCACCTCGGCTGACACGTCGGCGTCATCTTGGCCACATGTTGGTATTCAGAAAATATATCCCCACAATTTGAACTTATTCTTATCACAAATATATATATATATATATATGTATATGTATATGAGTTCTGTTTTATATATATATACATATAAGTTTTTACTTGTCACAAAAATATAACTTTAATTATTCATAATTTTAATTGTATTATGAAAACTCAACAAAATCTACTACTCAATGATTATTATTTTCCCCAATTGTTCATAGGAGTTCTGTTTTTGAAAAATTCACCTTGATTTCCATGTAAAACAAAATTAGACTTGGCATATTTTCATCCACATCTATTTGCAAAATGCCATCAAGTATACATGAGATTGAGTGTAAGACTATTAATCCACAAAATGAATCCGAAGTGAATATTCAATGATTAAATCTTATTGTGGCAAATATTGATTTAAGACTTCATAATCATGGTTTATTAAGATGTAAACAATTAGGTATGCCGGTTCGAATCAAGCAGAAACATAAAGTTCAGGTTTGTTTAAACCAAGGTTTAATCACACAAGAGTTGTTACCTGATGAACAAATATCATACTAATCAATTCAAGCCTGATAAAATCTGTTTTAGCTTTGCCTAAATGTGTTTAACTAGTAATCTTTGCATGAAAAGGCTGTACTTGTAAAGTGAAGTCTTCTGCAAAACTAATGAAAGAAAATACTTGAGGATGAATCTATGCATTTGGATTTATCTTCTTTCACTCTATTGAACAGCATACTGTGGAACCTATTTAGAGTATAAGACAGGGTTGGCATTGCATGTCGCAGCCTTCTTGAAGTACATTTCAATGAGAAAAGATGAATGCTATAGAGATAAAACACAATGAAAAATTGAAAAATAGCATACTATTAATTGTTGTAGGTAGCCAAAGCAATACGTGGCATGTTGTTGAGTCATCCAATACCTTCATGTTTAATCAGATCTCAAACACCTGAGAGAAGAGAAACGATAATTAATCTCCAAACAATTTGATGGGATATAATACACAAGGAAAAGAAGAGATATGTAACAAGTTGCATTGGCTCATATTGAAGAATAATATAAAAATGATATTGTAAAGCAGATGCACAGATCAAGAGTACCTATAAAACTCCATTAGGAGATACTAGCTAGTCTACCCAAAACTTCATCAGGAGATAGTAGTCTACCCAAAACTCCATCAATTGATCTATTCTCAACCCCAACCATGGTTACAACTTAGAAAACTCAAAAGTTACATTTCCATCAATTTTCATAAAATAAAATAAAAAAAGGTTTATAGCCGTAATGCTCTAACTAGCATAATTGTTTAAAGAGAATAATGTGCTTCGACATTATGGAATTTGAAACCAACAACAAAATGGACTTTTCCTCTTTGGAGATACAAAAGATGAGGTTTTGGTATCTTGAATATATGATTTTGGCAACAGAGATTGATTAAAACTTAATTGGTCACCTCTTCTGTATTTTTCTGGATGACACTAGTAATGAAAACCTAGTTGAATTATTTTACTCCTTAAAAATGCAAAAGAGACAGAAAATGGTTGAACTATCTAAAGCATTATTGATAGTTGCTGACCGCGTAGACAACTATATTTGAATTGGTGCTTCTTGCTCCTATCCTTAACATTGCCAATTGCTTCCTCAAGAATCCAAGTTCGACGAAAAGAACAAAATACAAAAACAAATGAGAATTTGTAAATGATTATGAACAAAAAACCTACTCATGATTGCATTTCAATTTAGCTCCTCTACCTCCAAGTATACTTCCTAGTTCCAACAAGAGCGTTTCTGATCACTTGCAACTGAGTACCAACATCATTAATCGCCATCCGATCTTTTGGTCATTCCTCTGAACAAGTAATTCCAACTTTAAGAATCCAAATCAAGCACTCCTGAATTTTGTGACTATTAGTAGAGCTCTGATCTTTTTGTTTAAACAGTCTTGGATCGGCAATAATGCTTGCTGCTTGTTCGGGCAAAGCAGTCTTAACGAAGCTATGAAGACCCAAACTATCACAAAATATGTTATCTGTAGGTCTCTTCCCCGTGAACATCTCCAATAAAAGGATGCCATAACTATATACATCACCAAATGTTGACTCCTCATTTCCCATGCCATATTCTGCAATTCATGCATTATTATGTTAGGGACTACGATTTGCTGATATTGGTACATCCATCCATTGATGGCACAAAATAATCACAAATTCAAGTAAACTAATGCCCTAACATGAGGGGGAAAAAAATATTCAATAAAATAAAAAGTTATAGTTTTGAAAGTCATTCATCCATCCATCCATTGTACTGTATGTGAGAGAAATACACTGAAAAAAATCAGCGAAATATTTATTATAGTGTATTGTGAGGAACAAAAACAAAAAACCATCAACTCTGTTTCATTAACTAAAAGAGCAGATTCATGGCTGTGTGAATCAAAAATAGATTCTATAGTGTAGTGAAGGCACAAAGGAAAACAAAGAACCTGAGAGGTATATTTACCAGCAGCAGCATAACCGACAGATCCTCTTATGCCAACAGAACTTGATTGGTTTGCTGAACAGTCATAGTTAGCTTCTGGAAGGAATCTTGCTAATCCAAAGTCACCTACATGAGTAGTCATTTCATCGTCTAGAAGAACATTGCTCGGCTTGAGATCACAGTGAACGATTGGTTCTGAGCAATGACTGTGAAGATAATCAAGTGCAGAAGCAATATCAATGGCAACCTCTGTACAAGGTCTAAATTCCTTGAGTATTTATGCACCTCATCTTCATTCTCATTTGCATGTAACCAATCCTCTAGGCTACCATTAACCATAAACTCATAAACAAGAGCTTTGAAATTGTTACCATGATAGTCAACAATTGAACATGCTGTGAGAACCTTGAGAAGATTTCGATGTTTTATGTGCCTCAAGGTCTCACACTCGATGAAGAAACTCTAGGAAGCTCCAAGGCATTGAAGGTTTAGTACTTCCACTGCTACAACATTTTTACCTTCACCAAGAACTCCTTTGTACATAGAACCAAAACTACCCACACAGACCAAATTGGATGGAGAAAACCCATCAGTAGCTTTAAGTAGAATTTGGTATGACAATTTAAAAAATGAGAGCTCTAAATATTTGAAAGAAGGTACTTTTTTAGTCTTTCTACACCAGCAAAGATATAGGAAACATATTACGAGGATTATTAATTTCAAGCTTCAAGTAAAATTTTCCCTTTGGAGCCCCTTGAAGTCGCAACTGTACAGCTGTAATTCAGGTATACCCCCACAAAGCTTGTCGTTTCCCTTGACAAAAATAGATGTTACATTTTGAAATATGCCACTTTCTGGTACTGCACCCTCAAAATCATTGAATGGTAGATTTAATTTTTTTAGATGGGAAAGTCCTCCAAATAGTCTGCGATTTTTCCAGAGAAATTATTGTGAAAAAGATTTAACTCCTCCATACCTCTCAAATTACTTAAATAGGAAGGAAGGATTCCCCAAAATTTGTTGCTCTCTATATGTAGTAATCTCAATTTTTGGCAACTACCAAGAGTGCTTGGAAACATGTTCTCGGAAACATCAAGTTCTTCTAGATTTTTTAAAATTCCAATTTCCGTTGGAAGGGAACTTGTCAAATCATTACGAGATATGTATAGATACAATAACGATGAGAGACTGAGAACTTCACTAGGTATGGAACCACTAAGATTGTTTTGAATAAGTCTTACTTCCTGTAACATTTGGAATTTCCCCAGACTTGAAGGGATTCTGCCACGAAGATTATTGTTGCATAACAGAAGATTTGCCAACACAGTTAAATTTCCAAAAGACAATGGGATATCTTCGTAAATCATATTACTTGAGAGTTCCAATTTCTATAGCTTTTGAAGCTTTCCAATAGCCGCAAGAATGTTACCTGTGAAATTGTTGTTTGACAAGTCAAGAATCTGCAAATTGATCAAATTCCCTATCCCGGTTGGGATGATCCCAACTATTTCATTGTTGCTCAATATTAGTTTGCTAAGATGAGTGGATAAATTGCCAATTGATTCAGGCAACAATCCTCCAAAATTGTTGTTGCTCAGATCTAGACCGTACAAATTTGTCGCATTGGTCAAAGAACGGAGAAAGCTCAAGTCATCAACTTCCCCAGTTCCTAAACCATTTCCATGGAAGTCCGAAGGAGGAACTTTTCCAGCAAATTTATTACCAGCCAAGCCAAGGTGATGTAGTTTGGTGGCATTAGACATTAAAATAGGAATGGATCTAGTAAACGAGTTCATACCAACTTCAAAGACACTAAGATTGGGAATAGTAATTCCTAGGTCCCAGGAAAGGCTCCCTTGAATTTGGTTCATTACAACATTAAATTCTGTAATGGACGAGAGATTAAAGATTGAGACAGGAATGGTACCAACCAACCTATTAACCCTCAACAGAAAAACTTCCAATTTTGTCAATTGACCCAGATCATTAGATATGTCACCACCATTACTATTTTCTTCTGCGACAAATTCAGTAGGAGCTGATAGATTCCCAAAAGAAAAAGGCACACTACCCGTCAGATTGTTTCTCCCAATGTACAGTCTCTTTAACTTAGACAGAGAACCCAGCTGCACTTGAATTTTCTGGGTTGCCAGAAAATTCAAGGACAACAAGATTAGAGCAAGCAGATACATTGGCAGGAATTTCACTGCTAATTGAATTATTGAGCAGCGACAACTTCTGCAGTCTAGGAAAACGACTGAGTTATGGGGGAATTTTGTGACTACGACTATTGTTACTCAAGGATAGTTCGTTTAGAAAGCTTAGATTTCCACTGTGAGGTGAAATGGAGCCTGTTAATTTTCGATGATCCAAGTTCAACACAATCAGCCTCTGGTTGGAGCAGCCACATGTTGCACCAAACCATTGACAGAAGTGGATTAATTCATTTCCCGAGTTGAGAGCACCGAATGGATAACTGGTTATTTCAAACTTAAATGCAAGCAAGGCTAGCCAGTCAGTCTCATTCCCACCACAAAACAGAGCAGATAAGAACAACAAAATGCATCAACAGAAAGATAGGCCATGGCCTTATTGAACCCATCTGGGTATTGGAAACTCCAAATTGAGTTTGAAAGTCTGTTGTATTTTGCACTGTTTTAAAGAATTTTCAATCTATTTTCCCACTTTGATGAATGAATCAGAGCATCAAGTATATTATTTAGAGTTCTTTCCACTCTGCCCTTAATTTTTGTTACTTTATTTATAATGCTTATCCCCATCTGTTAAATATGCTTTTCTCTTCCTTTCTTCTACAGGTTAACTACTTTGTGAATTCATTGGTTCTTTTTGTTTGCAACCAAACAAAATCTTGGATTAAACAAAGGTTCAATTGATAAATAAAGGTTCTAGCACTATCGATAATACATTAAATAAATAAATACATGAGTAAAATATAAGAACACCCAATAAGTTTAATGAAAAAAAATCCTTACTAATAGATCGATGCAGTTAGGGGTGGACATGGGTTAGATGGCCCTCTCAACCCAATATTTTTAATGCTTAGAAAAACATGTAATCCATAGTGCCAAAGTGCTTGGAAAAGGAGTTTTATAAATATTTATTTTAATTTTATATTATTTAATTACTAAATAAATTAAAGAGAGACTTACGTATAGATCCTAATAGGTAAACTTATTATCTAATAGATTCTATGATAATTAATGACGTTTTTCATCAAACACTATTAAAAAATGTCATTAATTGTTAATTTTTAGCGATATTTGAAAATTTTGTTATAAAAAATGTCACTAATATAAGTTTTAGTAACAGTTTAAAAAAATCGTTACAAAAAAAAAATCACTAAGTTTTAACTATCAACGACAGTTTGAAAAATTCGTCATAAAAAAATATCACTAATTATAAGTTTTAATGACAATTTATAAAAACCGTGACAAAAAAAAGTCACTATTGCTAATTTTTAGCGACGTATGCAAAAAATTGTCATAAAGTATATTTTTAACGATGATTTTATTAACACTTATTTTCAATAGGACTTGATAAGAATTAAGTTAAATTATTAATACCTATTGATAGTTTACCTAAACTTGAATGCCCTTTTAGTGTTTAGTAAACCTTTTTTTTTTTTTTTCTAAATTATGCCATAATTTTTGCTTGTTAAGTTTGTCTAGACTATGATATTGATAATTAAAAAAAAAAATATCAATTTTGTTTAAATTTTTTTTACTAAAGACAAAAATGAGTAAAATTTATAATTAAAAAAAATGAACTATTTTTGTCTTTACTGATATATATATTTTTTTAATTTGAAAGATTATCTAGTCTAAATGAACTTAAAAAATAAAATGCTTTAACTAAAAATAAAAACACTAATGAAATAACCTAAACGTATAAACTACAGTCAATATATCAATATTTCCTCTTCCATAATTACTTGTATTCTAATCTTGTTGCTTTACTAGCAAAAAACTATAGACTCTATTTGTCTACCTTAAGTTCATTTTTTTGTTGAATTTTTAGAATTTGGCAATAAAAACGTGTATAGTAATTTAACAGGGTTTTTTTTTAAGGTCCTTGATATTATGATTTTATAGCATAAAGGACATCAAATATTTTTATGATGTCTAAGGTCCATCAATAATATTTTCATAATGTCTAAGGTCCCTCAACCTTGATCTAGAGAAATTTCAGTCCAGAGAAAATTGGTCCAGAGAAATTTCAGTCCAAAGAAAATTGGTGCAGAGAAATTTCAGTCCAGAGAAAATTGGTCCAGAGAAATTTCAGACCAAATTTCTCTGGAAAAAAAATTAATCCAGAGAAATTCAATTCTGTCTAAAATCTAGAGAAATTTTTTGCTGACTTCAAAGTGTTTTGATATCTATGTTTCCAATTCACTACATAACTATAATATCCTTCCTAAGGACTACCTTCCTCATTTTCTTAGACAATAGAGCCACAGCCACAACAATAGGCTAGCTAGTCAAACGTTTAAACAAGAATAAAGGTCCAAGTGAGAACGCCACAATTCAAGCTCTAAATTTTACCAACAAGCATCTGTATCAGAGGCAACGAAAAAAGTATAAGGAAACACAAGCAAACACAAAAAAACACAAGCAAAGGCATCATATTCTTCACATAAGCTACCAATTTTAGTTCACAAATCTGTGTTCAACCATGTTTGTGTGAAAACAAGTAGATGTTTGGAAGTAATTACCAAACAATCCATCAAAGAAAGTAGTATCCCTCAAGTGAATAAAAAACATGGAACTAAATATTTGGGAGACCACTTCAAATTTACAATCAAATTGCCCTTCAGAAGACAAAATGTTAAATTTATAATCAGTACGCAACTTTTTTCTTGCAGATCATCTGTTGCAACTTTGGCTGCTGCCCACTCTCTGGCCTTGGCAGCCTAATCTTCTTCATTGAAGCTTCAGCACGATGAACAGCAGAGACGGCGATGAAGACGCTACTGTGGCCGACTGGAACGAGGCCAAACCAGACAAACCAAAGAAAATTGGGTTGGTCCAGAGAAATTCTTTGGTTTAGACTCAATTTTCTCTAGGTTGAACTAGTGCTCTGCTTCAGAGAAATTCTTTGATGCTGTTGTCTTACACTACCCATTGGAAAAGCGTGGAATCAAAGCCACTTCTTGGCCAACCCATTTTCTCTGGAGATAAGTTTTATCATTCCAGAGAAATTCTGGACCAGAGAAATTTTTCTTGAGCTAAATTACCAGAGAAATTCTCAACCCAGAGAAAATCTTAATCCAGAGAAAATTCAGTTTCATTGCCAAATACTCCTGGAAGCTTGAACCCAGAGAAATTTGAATTTTCTCTAGGTTGAATCCAGAGAAAATACAAATTTATCTAGGTTGAATCCAGAGAAATTTGAGAAATTCTACTACTAAGAAGGTGGAGAATTTTTAAAAAAAGAAAAAGAAAAAAAACCTATTTTACAATAGAAACAATCTTCCAATTTCCATTTGAAGAAACAACCAGAATTCAAAATGCTAAACCGAAAACTAGGTAATAACATACTCGAAGGTAGAAAAAGAGTTATACCCACTGTTGCTTTGTTGCCATCATTAGGTTTCTTTCGCTTATAAGTTCTTAAATTTGTTGTCAACTGCTGTTTCCTTTATTTTTTTATTGCTGGACATTTCATGTTTAACGGAGCTAATATCAACATCATTCACTGTATCAGTCTTCTCAAGGGATTTTTCATATATGCAATCACCACCTCTAGCTTTCTTTCACTTGTAAGTTTGTTGTGGTTGGATTTGGATGGAGAATTTTGATTACCTTTTTTGCCTTCATCTTCTTCCAGAATGTCAGAATTTACATTGCAAAGTTCTGCATCTCCAGAAACAACATCAGACTTCTCGCAAGTGCAATCAATTTCTTCACTTGATTCATTGTCTTCCGTCTTTTTATTTTGGTGCTGGAGCGATTCTATCACGCCCATCAACTCTCTGTTAACCTATTATGGAAAAGAAAGTATCTTCAAGGGCAATCAACATTTATCAGAACCCTAAGGATTCGAAAACCTAACCCTAGTTAATTGTTTTGGGTGGTAAAGAGAAGCGATTGAGTGAGGCCCCTGTTTTGTTGAGGTTGTGTCGATCAAAGCCGACGCAGGACCAAAGAAAGCTGCAAACCAGGCGTTGATGATGAGGAAGAAGGGACGTCCATGGTCGGAGGGGACGCCCATGGTGGCCTCTACGTTTTCATGGAGGTGGTCGTCGACGCGGGTCAGATGAAAGGACTGAAATTTCTCTGTTATATGTGTAGGACCTTAGACATCAAAAAATAATTTTGTGGATCTCTTCCATTACGAAAAGTGGGAG